CTGGCTCATATCATTTTCAAAGTGACAAAAAAAAAAAAAAAATGCCGAAAAGATAGGAAATAGAAAATACTCATAACACCTCATATGGAACGTTATAATTTTATGCGAATTTTAATAAAAAATCAATTATCCATTACAACTAAAAGTATATCCTTAACTGGCAACCACACACCAATCAGCAAAAAGTCCATATTTCCAATGATTTAGCAATGATTTGAAGCCGTTTCCAATGGATTTGGCATCTATCAACACATATAGATTGCAAAAACACATCAAAGATATATTGATTTCAATAAAAAGTTATGGCAAAAATCACTTATTAAACTTACTTGGTACTCGCGACGATATCACCTATATGAGCCAGTCGGCCATGCAAAAAGGTACAACAACGAAAAAATTACCAAATTGTAAAGTGTGCATAATTATTGGTAGCAGACTTGTGATCTATAAAACTCAGTTACTTTTCCCAATACCCTTAAGCTGTAAGCTATACACATCTGCATGTGCTGACCCCCCTTGTTTTATTCTAATTTTACTGAATTATTTCATATAGTTTAATCATTTTCCATGTTGAGTTTAAATATCTTAAATTGTCATTTGATGATGATCTTTCCGGTAGCAATGGGGATAAGGCTCTCGCTTGCAATGCAGATAGCAATGCAGTGAAAGGGGGTAACGGTTCGAATCCCGTGCACGGACCACATGCACTTGTTTCTATCCATGGGAAGCCCCACTATCAACGTATATTTACGAGTAAATATATGTTGATAGTGGGGCTTCCCATGGATAGAAATAAGTGCCTGTGGTAAATATACGTTGATAGTGGGGCTTCCCATGGATAGAAACAAGTGCCTGTGGCACGGACGGTTGATTGCAAAAACACAAGATGACATAATTTTTGCATTTTCCCTTATGTTTAAATGTTGTCTTCCTATCTTTAAACATAAGCGAGGTGATGAAAATTGTTTACCTTTTGTCTCTATAGTGTCGTAAATGGTTCTGCTCAGTATAGCATTGTTCCGAGAAACAAATGATTTTACGCTTGCTTAAGTACAAACATTCAGATATTTCTACGTCTTTCTCCTTGTTAATTGACAAATTTGTTGGTACATAATTGACAATTTTATCAATGTTTACATTAATATATTTTTTTTTCGGATAAAATCGTTTTTCAAAAATATTTTAACGAACGTGTCCTGTAAAGTTTATAAAAAGGACTTTTTGTACCTTTTCGCATGGACTGGCTCATATCATTTTCAAAGTGACAAAAAAAAAAAAAATGCCGAAAAGATAGGAAATAGAAAATACTCATAACACCTCATATGGAACGTTATAATTTTATGCGAATTTTAATAAAAAATCAATTATCCATTACAACTAAAAGTATATCCTTAACTGGCAACCACACACCAATCAGCAAAAAGTCCATATTTCCAATGATTTAGCAATGATTTGAAGCCGTTTCCAATGGATTTGGCATCTATCAACACATATAGATTGCAAAAACACATCAAAGATATATTGATTTCAATAAAAAGTTATGGCAAAAATCACTTATTAAACTTACTTGGTACTCGCGACGATATCACCTATATGAGCCAGTCGGCCATGCAAAAAGGTACAACAACGAAAAAATTACCAAATTGTAAAGTGTGCATAATTATTGGTAGCAGACTTGTGATCTATAAAACTCAGTTACTTTTCCCAATACCCTTAAGCTGTAAGCTATACACATCTGCATGTGCTGACCCCCCTTGTTTTATTCTAATTTTACTGAATTATTTCATATAGTTTAATCATTTTCCATGTTGATTTTAAATATCTTAAATTGTCATTTGATGATGATCTTTCCGGTAGCAATGGGGATAAGGCTCTCGCTTGCAATGCAGATAGCAATGCAGTGAAAGGGGGTAACGGTTCGAATCCCGTGCACGGACCACATGCACTTGTTTCTATCCATGGGAAGCCCCACTATCAACGTATATTTACGAGTAAATATATGTTGATAGTGGGGCTTCCCATGGATAGAAATAAGTGCCTGTGGTAAATATACGTTGATAGTGGGGCTTCCCATGGATAGAAACAAGTGCCTGTGGCACGGACGGTTGATTGCAAAAACACAAGATGACATAATTTTTGCATTTTCCCTTATGTTTAAATGTTGTCTTCCTATCTTTAAACATAAGCGAGGTGATGAAAATTGTTTACCTTTTGTCTCTATAGTGTCGTAAATGGTTCTGCTCAGTATAGCATTGTTCCGAGAAACAAATGATTTTACGCTTGCTTAAGTACAAACATTCAGATATTTCTACGTCTTTCTCCTTGTTAATTGACAAATTTGTTGGTACATAATTGACAATTTTATCAATGTTTACATTAATATATTTTTTTTTTCGGATAAAATCGTTTTTTAAAAATATTTTAACGAACGTGTCCTGTAAAGTTTATAAAACGGACTTTATGTACCTTTTCGCATGGGCTGGCTCATATCATTTTCAAAGTGACAAAAAAAAAAATTGCCGAAAAGATAGGAAATAGAAAATACTCATAATACTTTATATCGAACGTTATAATTTTATGCGAATTTTGAAGAAAAAAAACAATTATCCATAGCAACTAAAATTCTACCCTTAGCAACCACACACCAATCAGCAAATGTCCATATTCCCAATGATTTAGCAATAATTTGAAGCCGTTTCCAATGGATTTGGCATCTATCAAAACATATACTTTGCAAAAAACACATCTTAGATATATTGATTTCAATAAAAAGTTATTGAAAAATCACTTATTTACTATACCTAGAACTTACATGGTACTTTGGCCGATATCACCTATATGACCCAGTCCATGCAAAAAGGTACAACAACGAAAAAACTACCAAATTCTAAAGTGTGCATAATTATTGGTAGCAGACTTGTGATCTATAAAACCCAGTTACTTTTCCTAATACCCTTAAGCTGTCAGCTATACACATCTTCATGTGCTGACCCCCCTTGTTTTATTCAAATTTTACTGAATTAGTTCATATATTTTAATCATTTTCCATGTTTAGTTTAAATAGCTTAAATTGCCTTTTGATGATATCGTGGGGATATGGCTCTCGCTCACAATGCATGACAACATAGTTTTGTTTGTCTAGACAGTTACTTCAATTTGATTGATTGTTAGAACAAAAGATCACATTCCAATGTAAAATTATCGATCGCATTTAGGTGTGTTCGACTTTTGAAAATATTTTAGAGTTGTCTCGCTTTCAATATATAACTTATATTGAATCTGTCCTGTTCAATTCATATACACTTTTTGATAAATGAATCACTATAAAATAAATCGGGACCAATATGCTATACATTTTTTAAGTTTTTAACGTGTATCATCTAGATGTATTTTATTTTTTACCAATATAGGAGGATAACAACTAACAACTCTGTAAATAGAAAACTTCTCACCAATGAGGAATGTCTCATGGGACAGTATGTAAATATGTAATAAAAATTTTATTAATGATAAAAAAAAAAAGCTCTCGCTCACAATGCAGATAGCAATGCAATGAAAGGGGGTAACGGTTCGAATCCCGTGCAAGGACGGTTGATTTCAAAAACACAAGATGACATAATTTTTGCATTTTCCCTTACGTTTAAATGTTGTCTTCCTTTCTTTAAACATAGGTAGAGATGATGAAAATTGTTTACCTTTTGTCTCTATAGTGTCGTAAATGGTTCTGCTCAGTATAGCATTGTTCCGAACACAAATGATTTTACGCTTGCTTAAGTACAAAAATTCAGATATTTCTACGTCTTTTTCCGTTTTAATTGACAAATTTGTTGGGACATAATGGACAACTTTATCAATGTTTACATTAATAGTATATTTTTTTTTCGGATAAAATCGTTTTTCAAAAATATTTTAACGAACGTGTTCTGTAAAGTTTATAAAACGGACTTTATGTACCTTTTCGCATGGGCTGGCTCATATCATTTTCAAAGTGACAAAAAAAAATTGCCGAAAGATAGGAAATAGAAAATACTCATAATACTTTATATCGAACGTTATAATTTTATGCGAATTTTGAAGAAAAAAACAATTATCCATAGCAACTAAAATTCTACCCTTAGCAACCACACACCAATCAGCTAATGTCCATATTCCCAATGATTTAGCAATAATTTGCAGCCGTTTCCAATGGATTTGGCATCTATCACAACATATACTTTGCAAAAAAACACATCTAAGATATATTGATTTAAAAAAAAAATCACTTATTTACTATACCTAGAACTTACATGGTACTTTAGCCGATATCATCTATATGACCCAGTCCATGCAAAAAGGTACTTGAGTATTTCACTCCTGCTATTGCATAATGTTTTCCTATTATCCGTAATCTCAGACATCAAGTCATAAAATTTAATTATTCTTTCAGAATCATCATCATACCGCTAAAAATATTTGATAAGTTAAATGTTTATTAAAAAATGAAATGTTTCGTTGTAGCATCTCATATCTGCATTTTACACATCTCAACGATTCTTAAAGGTTCGGTTTGTTTTTCTTTTAATTTGTTTCCTTTTTATTTCAATTTGTATTTTAATAACGATAAAAAAATATGTCGTTCCAATATTTTACCAATAAAATAATATGATTATAATAATTCCATTTTTGTAATTTTAATTAAAATAGGAACAATTTTTAAAAACTCCTAAATTACTGCATAAACGGACTTAGTTCTTATTTGATTTCGCTAAAATGGCTAAAAATCTTGAAAACGCCTAACCATTTGACGGTATTTTTTTTTCGCTTAATGTTTACACAGCTTGTATTTCAGAAAAATTAACATATCATGCGACTATAATTTAATTAACTACTGATGTAAAATATCAATCCGCCTCGACTCTCGATTAACACTTATTTCTATAGCAACTGTAAGACGCTAATACATATTCATAAGGTCAATTAATTATCTATTACGCAGGTGGCCACAGAAAAGAACAGATGTATTCCGAAAAGACAATAGGCATTTCCGGTATTCCGAAAGACTACAGCCTCAATTAATATATATGCGTGAAACCCCTCAGGGTTCACGCAATGCGCTAACATAAAGTTTATTATATACATGTAGGCGTACTCCGAAAAAAAAAGAATCAAGCATTGTTAGAGCGACTTTGTTTTTGTAATGGAAGTTTGTGCAGATTCTGTACTGTCATCAGTAAATGCAGAAAAGGGAGGTTTGTTTTTTGTGATGCAAGTGGAGTTAACGGATTAAACAGTCTACTGAAGTTTTGGTTTATTGTAGTTTGTTGGCACAAAAGGACATATACGATACAGTTACAGGGGTATCAGGTCCGTTCGCGCCCAATACACGTTCGCACCCTACACGTTCGCCCTCTATGTCCGTTCGCACCCAATTTTTATTCAAATTCAAGTTGAATTATTAGATATTTTTATATATATATATATACCAAAAAAAAATATATTTTCCTGATTAAAAATTGGGGAATTGTTATATGAATGTTTTTTTTTTTTTTTTATCAATTTGATGATTAAATTATGTACAAATGTATGATTACTGCTAATTGGTATTTATACACAGCTAAATTTGGTATTATTGTTGTGTGTGTGAAAATCATGATTGTTGTTTTAACTTGCTTTGATGTAAATACTACATGTATTTAGCTTGGTATGAGGAAAACATTTTAAAAGAAAAACACAAAAGAAAATTGATTTTAACAGCTTGGCCCCTTTGATCTCACTTTATATCACAACACTAACATGACTAACCAAATCATAATTTAAGATTTATTCAACACAAAAAAACCTGAGAATCTCACTTTATTTTGAAACGGTGTCTTCCTCCAATTCCCACTTTTTAAAAATCACTATTCCTTCTATTCCCACATGCAAATAACAATAGATGTTTTGATAAATAATTTGTTTTTTTATAACAATCAAGGTTAATTAAGAATTCACCTAAGATTTACCTGTATTTTTTAAAAAGAAAACACATTTCTTACACTGTTTAAGTATATTATTTAAAAAAAAAATTAATACACTGTTTGTTTGAATATGTTTTTTCTTCTTCAAAGAATTACCTTAAAATAAATAATAATAAGTCAGATAAACAGAAGTAAGATTAAAAAAATATTGAATTGGTAAACCTAACAAATTGTCATCCGACCACATAAACTGATGATAGTTAATATTAAAACAAACTTTCCCATCTTGCAAGATTACCATGTACAACAAACACAAGAAGAACCTACCAGTTTAACCAAAAACGTTGATAAAATCAACAAAGAGGGTATTTGGGCACGTACTATCAAAGGTGACCCATTCCTGATAACAGACGACAACACAGTTGGGTGTATGTTAATCTTCAGTACTCAAACGAATCTAACACATAAGCAGCAGCAGATATCATATACTAGTATGGTGAAGGTACATTTTACTCCTGTCCAAGCCTATTCTTCAAACTTTACACATTTCACGCAATGGTTGACCGCGCAATTTATTATCCACTGGTACACAGTTCACTTCCAGCCAAGAGCGAACTTATATACACAAGGTTCCTGACTTTACTCAAGGATGTATGTCGCCATCTGAAATGCAGCATATTATGTATTTCTTTACATCAACGCAAACCACTGTTTTTCCACTACACACAATGCATCTGGAGAAAATCACAATGACAAGGGGATTCAGGTTTCATACAAGAAAGACAACAACATTCATCAACTAGTATGCCGTGCTGCTGTCCTTCAACTTGTACCTACTGCTGAGGTCGAAGATGTGTGGTTTAATGCCCTAACCGACATTGATCAGATAGAATCTAATATCAGCTAAACGCCCTTTACCGACAATGTAACAAAATACTGATGGGACCATTACAAAACACAGGGACTGAGGACTACACATCATCTAGAGTGATGATAAAGATAGAATAACATATTGTAGATTTAGAACGGGAAACCGCAAGTTACCCATCGAAACTGGTAGATGGAATAAATTTGAACGTAACTATAGATATTGTAATTTATGTCAATGGAACGTGATTGGTGATGAATTTCATTACATTTCAGCTCTTTGGCAAATTTTCGAGCACAATATTTGGATACTTTTTTCTTGCATAGAATTAATACTAAAGTTTGGAAAACTACTTCAGTTAAAATACAAAAATAAGTTAAAAAAGCTGTTCAAATTTATCAGGGTTATAACTTTTCAAGTAAGTCTTCCTGGTTAATGACCGCTCTTCCCCACTACTGTTTATTTTATTATTTTTTTTTGCATCTCATCCTGTCATGTGTGATCATGTTATGTTATAACTTTTGATGAACTTCTTTGTACCATTGTACCTATATGGTGTTTGAGGAATAAAGAATCTTGAATCTTGTTAATTTGTATAGGTTGTTTCATATTATAATGCTTGCTTGAATCTACTGTTGAATTTGTGTTATAAAAGAAATAAAATAATTTACTTATATTTGTTTCCATTTCTTGCATATTTATTTAAATTAAAAACACAGAATTCATACACATACAAAAATAACCTATTACCTATAAAAAAAAACCTTGTCAATTAAAAGTTGATTAAACAATGTTTATACAGTATAATCCTTTGTTTGCACAAGTTTTCCCCTTATTCCCACATGCAATTTTAACTTTTCTTACCAGATTTATAAAAAGTGGGAATAGGAGGAATGAACCTTTGAAACAATGAAAATATAAATTTATAGGAATACACTAACCAAAAGATGATTAAGATTTATTCAACACAAAAAACAAACGTTGTCAGAATCTCACTTTATTTAGAAACAATGATTTTTTTTTATAGCAATACACTAACCAAAACATGTTTAAGATTTATTCAACACAAAAAAATGTTGTCAGAATCTCACTTTATTTTGTAACAATGAAAAAAAAAAAAAATACAGCAATACACTTACCAAAACTCGATTACAAAATTATTAAACACAAAACCAATATAAAGGGTGCGAACGGAATAAAATTGAATTATTCCCAAAGAATTGTTACACAAATTTAGTATGCCGACATATCTCTGTGTCAACAGTTTATTATGCATATGAGATGAATATTTGATCATTTATTTGTCCACACTATATTCTATCATGATGTGGCATGATTAGTATTTTTCGAAGAAATGCTTAAATCGCTGTAGATGTTGTCTTACATTATACATTTTTATACTAAATTTCTCTCAAGAAACTGATTATGACAAAACTTGACAGATATGCTTGAAATAAACAGTAATTCAAAGGAAAAAATTCAAATTCAGATTATTCAACAAAAACGTTTTCATTAGGTGTAATAACACCAAAACATGATATCATATGTCACAATTGGTTTCATTTTAATAATTGGTAAAAGGGTTGGGTTAAAAATAGATATTCCCTTGACTTTGACAGTTGTAAGAAATTAACCCTGCATTTCATTGCAGAAAAAAATGTCTTAGTCATAAACATAAACATATCTTGGATTATTCAAAGCATCCATGTAGTACTGGACAGGACAAAACTTTACTGATGCCTGGCAAGTATTTCTTTATTTTGAAACGAAGATAAATTCTGCACAATTTTCCTGAAAAAAGCCAATTTAACACAGACTAATTGGGAAAAAAAACTATTGAAAGAGCACCACAAATTATTGTGTTATTTTGTGTGTTCACAAGTTTACAATTGCAAGCACACTATGTAATAAGCCTTACTTGGCACTTGTTATTTTTAAAACAGAAGTGTTCAAAGTTCTCTTGTTGACAGGATGCAGGCATGTCTGGGTTTATTATCTATTGTATTCTAAAATACTGGAAAGGTGACTTTTAAAACAGGATGACATGAGGGCCTTGACAGCTTTATCATGTTTATTAATTTATTTATCATTTTTTTGCCAGTAGAATTTAGCCAAATGGGTTTTGAGATCTGAACGATATCCTATATACTAGCAATAAGCCATGTATCATTCATTGTCATTTCTATTACAGGGGCAATAAGAATAGAATTATGTAGCAATTTGGCAGAAGGTGGAACCACACCATCAGTAGGTAAGCAAAACCAGTGAAACTTTGACCCGTTTTGTTATGATATCTTTTCTATCTTGTGTAAGGTATATTTTGCTTCCTATAAAATGCACAGCTTGTGTTGCTTATCCTAGAATGCACTGGAAAGTCTTACATTGTTTTTGTTGAGTCTACAAAATTTATGTTGCGAAAGTGAGACATAGCAATCCTAGATTCTGTCGACAGCGGTAGTCAACATTTAGGTTCAGTCTATTATAATAGATTTTTTATACATCGATTATTTTGTCAAACCTTCATGGAATTTTGTGAAATTTGGACAGAAGCTAGATTATGACCAAAATACAGTATCCAGAGCAAAATTTTGATTATATTTATTTTCATTTTACTGATAAATGGACTCAGTTTTTTTTTTACAGTTAACATTCAGATTTAGTCTGAGGTTAAAGTTTTTCAGTCATCAATAATTTTGTCAAAATCTTCATGGAATTTTATGAATTTAGACAGAAGCTTTTATTTCACTAATAAAGGGACTTAGTTTTTATACGCCCTTTTACGGGACGTATTATGGTATACCGTTGACCGTCTGTCCGTCTGTCCGTCTGTCCGTCGTCAACATGTCGGACATCAACTCAAAAAAGCTTTAACCAATATGCATGAAACTTCGGTGAATTGTTTATATCTATTGACGTGAGCTTCCTTTCGTTTTTTATAAATTTTTGATTTACAGTTTCCGAGTTTTGGGGTTTTATTCATTAAAAAAGGGGTGAATTGTTTTTATCTATTTACATGAGCTCCCTTTTGGATTTTTATAAATTTTAGATTAAAGGTTTCCAAGTTACAGGGTTTTATTCATAAAAAAAAGGGGGATTTTCCAGTTTTCGGACAATAACTAAAAAATGCTTTCAGCAGTTCTCATGAAACTTTGGTGAATTGTTTATATCTGTTGATGTAAGCTCCCTTTAGAATTTTATAAATTTTACATTTCTGAGTTATGGGGTTTTATTCATTAAGAAAGGGGGGATTTTCCAGTTTTTGGACAATAACTCAAAAATTCTTTCAGCAGTTCTCATGAAACTTTGGTGAACTAATTATAGCTATTGATGTAATCTCCCTATTGATTTTCATAAATTTCAAATATGACATTGAGAAGAAATTGAACTTTATTTGTTTATAGTCTGACAACAGATTTACTAAGTATTGCACAACAGCACAGTGCATTGCACAACAGCAAGAAATCTTTAACTGAATATAAATTCAATTCATATAACCAATTTCAAGTTCTTTGACTACATTTATTCAGAAACTTATAATATGTCAAATATTTAATTACAATCCAAATTCAGACCTGTATCAAGCTTGAATATTGTGTCCATTTTTGCCCCAACTTGTCAGGGTTGGACCTCTGCGGGCATATCCAGCTGCGCTCAGCGAAGCAGTTTATTGATTCAGCCATGCTGGATCTATGTGATCACTCTGGTTTTGGAGATGGTGCAGAATACTAAGTTGAAGACATATCATGAAACTAATTATATGTTTTTATGACTTGCAGAAACTTTCTACTCCATTTTAATCATCAACTGCCAACTTTTGACAAGTTTTTTGCCCTTAAATTAAGAAAAGATTGGTCGAACAATCCTTTTATTTTAGATATACACTTGCATATAGTTTCTTTGTTAATCAAAATTTATAATGATTTACTATTTATGAATTAATTTGAAAAAGTGTTTGTACATCAATTGAATCAGTTGGTTAGAATTTTGAAAGTATTATATTAGTATCTTATGCTTGTGTAAGTTATTGTTCAATGAAATTTGGGTCAACAAGTGTATTAGTATATCTAAGTTGATTCCCACACTTTTTTGAAATGGTATTACTCCAATTCTTTCCATAGGCAAGTAAGAGTCAGTATGATAATCAACTGTAATGATTTTCAAATATTTACACTCAAAGGTGTAAGTATTAATTGGAAACAACTCCAGTCTTAATAAGGGCACCGCCGAATGGCGGACGCCCTATAGTGATCAGTCTGTCCGTCCGTCTGTCCGTAACAAATTGTGTCCGCTCTATATCTAGAGAACCTTTATGATTTCAAAGTTTATACTTGACATGTATATTAACCAACACCAGAGGGTGTGTCATAATGTATGTACAACTTCCTAGGTCAAAGGTCATGGTCAAAAACTTTGGTTTTAGTTGACAACCCCATGTCCTATGGTAAAGATCGGGTCCACTCTATATTTTGAGAACCGTTATGATTTCAAAGTTTATACTTGACATGTATATAAACCAACACCAGAGGGTGTGTCATAATGTATGTACAACTTCCTAGGTCAAACATCAAGGTCATAAACTTCGTTTCAGTTGACAACCACACATTATTCACAGCAGGGCCCACAGAGATGGTTCCCATCTCAATGATATCTAGTTCACCACAGTTTATATCTCATGACCTGTTACATAATCAAATAGACACAATTTATTACACACCCAACTGAATACATGTAACAGCCACTATGTTCCGTCAGTTACTTTTTTTCGGGCGGAACTTTTCAACTAGTTATTTCGTTCTGATGGAACTTTCCAACTAGTTGTTTTATTCCGAGTGCAGTCGAAAATTTCCGGAAAAAAGTAGCAAGTTGAAAAGTCCCGGAACAATGTAGCTAGTTGAATAGTTCTGACGGAACAGAACAACTAGTTACATTGTTCCGAATATACCATATTTCGTCCTTTTTGTAGAAAGAGGGGGAAGAATGAGTATCAGTATATATAAGAGCAAATCATTAATTTACAAGAATACCCAACACACTGAAAGGGGTTTCTTTGGGGACAAATATGCAAAATTTAAGTTGTATTTTATAGCTCACATAAAACGGAATAAGTTGCATTATCATGCAAATTTAATATTCACAGTACCCTCAAGAGAGGGAAGAATACCCCCCTCCTCATGTGGTTCTTTGCATCAATTCTCCAAATGGAACTTTGTGACTGGTTGATAAGTTCCGTTGGAACTTTTGGGCTATTTTGTTAGTTCCGGTTTTGACTTATTTGCCAAAGAGGAACTTTGTGGCTAGTTGATAAGTTCCTTCTGACTTTTGTAATCAGTATCTTGGTTTCCCTTTGAAAGGTTCAAATATAATATGTTGGGCTTTTACTTTGCATCAATTCTCCAAATGGAACTTTCTGCCTGGTTGATAAGTTCCGTTGGAACTTTTGGGCTAGTTTGTTAGTTCCGGTTTTGACTAATTTGGCAAAAAGGAACTTTCTAACTAGCTGATATGTTCCGTTGGAACTTTTCAACCAGTCACTTTGTTCCGGTGGAACTTTTAAACCAGAGGAAGAACAAAGTAACTAGTTAATAAGTTCCTCCGGAACTTTTCGGCTAGTTAGTTCTTTCCGCCCGGAACTTTCCAACGTCGGAACAAAAGAGCATTTACATACACACATTCTTGACCTCAATAGTAAACCTACAAATGTATTACTTATTTTGATCTACACTACATATAAATATTCTGTTAATTTTGCTAGCTAGCTGAATGATTAATTAGATGTGTTTTTTTTTAAAATGAAAAGAAAAAAAATGAAAAAAACATGTGTAAAAAATACAAGCAAATTTTATTTCACTTGTAAAATTATTGTCATTATCATCTATCATAAGACAATAATCAAGTTCTAATTAATTATTTACAATTATCAGAAATTTGGTTGATTTAACAATAAACAAAATTGCATAACTCTTACTTGAGCATTTTCTGCAATAAAATTTATTTGTTTGTTCTACATTTATAACCCATTATATTGCTATTCATCAGTAATTGGAAATATCTCAGCATTAGGTATTTGTACATTTAAATTTAAATACAGGAAATGTATTTTTTCTTAATGAAGAATGAACACCGATTCATTATTAATGGCATAGAAAAAAATATTTTACTTGTGTGATGATTTCCCTTTCCTTTCTTTTCAATTCAAAAATTGCAAATATTTATATAACAAAATCTGACAAGAGTTTAAAATTGAAATATCAATATATATATATATATCAATATTTGCATCAATATTGCGAAATTCCCTACCTTTGGACAATAACATAGAAATTTTACAGTAAGATTGGAAATGGAAAGAAAAAAAAATATTGAAAAAAGTGTGGTCAGAAAGAATATCAGACTAGCTATGAATATGGCTGGATCACAACATCGACGATGCTTTGATTTTTACAGTTAACATTCAGATTTAGTCTGAGGTTTAAAGTTTTTCAGTCATCAATAACTTTGTCAGACCTTCATGGAATTTTATAGATTTAGACAGAAGCTTGTTTATGACCAAAAGACAATATCCAGAGGGAAATTTTGAAAATATTTATTTTCATTTTACTGATAAATGGATTTAGTGTTTTTTTTACAGTTAACATTCTGATTTAGTCTGAGGTTAAAGTTTTTCAGTCATCAATAACTTTGTCAAACTTTCATGGAATTTTATGAAATTTGGACAAAAGTTTGTTTATGACCTTAATACAGTATTCAGAGCAAAATGTATACATGATAAATTTGTAAGCCATCTTGGATTGTTAAAAAATTTAGACAGAAGCTAATCTTCAAGACCAAGAAAAAGCATCTAAAGAAAAAGTTCTAATTCTTTTTTAAATTCTGTTTTTTACTGATAAATGGACTCACTTTGTCAACATTACACTTTTACACTGACAACAGCAATGTATGCGAGACACAGAATTCTTCGGAACCCCTTACAATTTTTTTTTATCTTCCGTGCTTTTAATAAAGATGTTAAATAACAATTGTATGAAATAATTCATCGACAAAACTTTCTATTTACAAGTCTTTTATATTTGAAAAATGAAAACAACACATTGTAAAGGAGAAGGATCATTAAAGCCAATTTTTGGCCCAAAAAATAAAGTTTTTGAGAACTATTTTAAATTTACACATTATGCTTGGAAATGTATGCTGTCAAGAAATATAAATGAGTTACACAAGAATTTTGATGATATAGTGTCACAATTGCGTCATTATATGCACCCTTTTCATGAAAACAAAGAAAACAGCTCAGTTTATGCAGTTTTCCATCCATATTTCCTTTATGGCAACTACTTGCAATCAAGAAACAACAAAATAATTTTAGAGAAGCTTTATTAAAGCTATTAACATAATCTCACAAAATATAAAGTTGTTTCTGGTGTTGTGCATATAATTTTCCAATGCATAATATACCTTCAAGTGGATGTTACACAAGGAAAATTGAAAATTTTTACAAAATATACAAATTTTGTCATGGTCTGTTGCCATTGTAACTCATTAAATGTGAATTTTGTTTTTATTTTCTAAACATCTTGTTCCTTAGTAAAGTTAGAACCAATTTAAGAACATGAATCATGATCATGAATGGTAGCTTTTTTATTTCGCTAATAATTGGGCCAAATAAGGGCCTTATTGCTCCTATTCCTTTTACGCGTCCGAAATGCTTTTCTGGATTTACCTTCATCTGGAATGCTCAAAGACGAATATTTAAAACCCAAGGATAACAAATGACAAATAAAGTGAAACTTTATTCCTGAAAATTTGCATAGCTCCATGGAAAATCCCAAATTGCTTTCCTCTAAAACTTGGAACTTATAAATTGCTTTCCACTCTCAAACACCTTTTCGATAGATGGAATGATACAAGTCATTATTTCACTTTCTCAGAATAAATAGAGTTAGATCACATATGAAAATAAACTCTTGTGTATGAAGCTTGTTATTGATTTTTGGACATTTTTTTGGATATTAATTTCACTACAGATTTATTCTTCAATTGAATTTATTTATATTAAATAAAGTATCTAAAACAGAAAGATTTTACTACAACACACAAAGAACTTTGCACCAGTAACATAGTTCTTAGTCTTATCTTAGTTGTAATGTCTAGTTGTTTACATTTGGCTTGGCTGAATCAACCTTATCTTATAACCCCTGCAAACAAATTTTGGGGGTACAGAGGAATCTTCTTGTCTGTCTGTCTGTCCCTTCCGTCCCACTTCATGTCTGGGGCATAACTTGAGTACTATTAAACGTAGCTAATATATATGAAGGTTGATGAAACTTGGTATGCAGATTCATTATGGGTAAGGGGTGTGTCATATACTCTGACCTTGACTAACATTTGACCCCTATTATACATGTTAAGGTAAATCCTTGTTCAATGCATTTCTAGCTTATAACTGTTGTACAATAAAAGTTGGGGTAACCACATTTGGTATGCAGTGGCATCATGGGATAGGCTGTGTCATATACATTTCAAGGGGAGGTCAATCTGGCCTTGAATTTGACCCCTTTGCTAGTAAAATAGTATAACCTTGTCTGATTTGTATCTTGCACATAACGTTTGTACCATAAAATGTTGACCAAACTCAGTGTTCTCCCCAGGCCCTGATAATTTTGGAGAGTGGTCCTATCAGTCTTAGCGCAGTGCCTAATTTTGTAAGTATACTAAGTTACTGAATGTATACATGTTATGGTGTAGTAATATTTAGATAAAAACATATAAATCCAAATACATGTCTTTATATCCACTCCACATCCATTTTGTCTATTATGTGTCAAAAATTAATTATTTTTAAAATTAAATTTGGCTGTCATTTATTTAAGGACTTTTGAAGGTGGTTAAATCACGTTTGAAGATTCCAGTTTATGTGATGCTGCGACCACGTGGTGGAGATTTCTTCTACAGTGACGACGAGTTTGAAGTCATAATGGAAGATTTAAAATTATTGAAGAATTTAGGAGCAGATGGATTCGTGTTTGGTTATCTTAATTCGTATGTGTTCATTTTTATGAAGTTAACAGCTACAAGTAACACTCTAGTCATACAATTACTCCACAAATATATCCATTCAGTGAATAAAGTCACACACTAGTAACAAAGGGGTTGTGTTAGCAATTGTCATCACTTAATGTCTGTCCTATTCATTCTGTAAACTTTTTAAAAATCGTTTCCTCTGAAATAACGGACCAATTTAGGCCTGAATGATCCTTATAGTATCTAAGACAAATTTTGTATTTCTTTCATACCTACCAACCAACCAACCAACAGTACTGCCATGTCTGAAAATAGACAATATAGTTGAAATGCAATGGTCAAGTGAGCTATTCTCATCACTTCCTTAATCTTACAATTTCTTCTCCTTTGAATCTACTGGGCCAATTGGAATCAAACTTGGCCACAATCAAATCATACTGTCAACTCCTTATGTTAGTATACTCTCATATGGTCAATAAAAACTTGTATTTACCTCATCAAAAGGCTATAAAATTTTGTATAATATTTCAAAAAAAACTTTAAATGGTAATGTTACAGTGGAAGGAAATAAGTATGAAAAGTGAAATATTTCTTTTTGGCTTTGTAAACTTATTGATATTTAAGATTATAATAATCTTGTTATTGTATACTCATTTTGTCATGTTTTTCTGTTGTGATGAATACAAGTTCACTATATATCTAATATTTACAGTTTTTCATTTATTGTTCAAAGATGCAACGTGTTGCTACAGATATAGAAATACCTTCCGCCCATGTGTCTGTTTGTCATACTGATCTTGTAAGCCCTCTCACACATGCATTTCTGGCCAGATTATTATTATATTTATATCAAAGATTTATATCAGCAATTTCTCAAGTCCAAGTTCAAAATCAGTGCTAATCAACTACTTTTATAGGAGTTAAATAAAATAATATGGAAAATTGTATTGTTAGTGCTGTCAAGACCAATTTGCTTGTATGATTTTCATATCAGCAGTGTCTCAGACGAGTGAGACACTCAGTGCAGATCAACTATTTTTAAAGTTTATATGCTGTTGGAAATAAATATTATATGGGGGAATTTGCATTATGAGCGCTCTCAATCCTACATTTCTTTTAGGATTTTTAAGAAATTTATATTACAGGTATTTATCAGTAATATTTTGGGCGAATTTCGAAAATCGGCACAATTATTGTCGAGCCTGCAATGAAAGTTGCAGAAAGTGAGATATGGGGATTACAATCTGGTGTCAACGGCGTAAACTATTTGTATAAAGCTTTATATTTCAGAAGGTAGAAGACCTGGATGCTTCATACCTTGTATGGTGATATCTTATGTTAGGAAATTTCCGTCTGTCACATATCTATTGTCCTTGACCTCATTTTTGTTCAGTGATTGCCTGAAAAAATTATTGTTTTTAATGGCCCAGCATCAAAGATATTGTGACCATATAATTTTATCCTTATCCGTCATTCTGTCATTCCGTCATTCAATCATTCCACAAGAAACAGTTATAGACTTTTTTTCTAAACGCCTTCACATATTGAGCTGATTTTTAGTATGTAAATTGACTATGATGAGTTACAGATGGAGTTAACGTTTGGTTCCACTCCGGTGATTTTTGCAGAAATTACGGGCTTTGGACTATGAAAATTTCATGAAAATAACCATTTTACCAACTTTTTTTCTAAACGTCTAAACATATTGAGCTGATGTTAAGTATGTGAGTCAACTATGATGAGTTACAGATTGAGTTTACGTTTGGTTCCTCGCCATTGATTTTTGCTGAAACTACGGGGTTTGGACTTTGAAAAATTGGAATGATAGTAAGGTGTACATGTCTGTCTGGCAGGTTTGATATGACCTTGACCTTATTTTCAAGGTTCATTGGTCAATGTTGATTTTTTGTGGTTTGGTCTTTTTTCCAGGTACTATAAGCACTAGGAACACTATATTTGGTGTATGGAATGATTGTAAGGTGTACTGTTACACGCAAAATTGTCCTTAAATACTTTGGCTTCGTAAAACATCCAAAACTATATTCAAGTCCGACAAATTGTAATTATTTTCAATCCGTGGTACAGGTGTATAACATATAAAACAAAACATGTAAATACATCTACAAGCAACTGAGAAACTGAAAAGTGTAGGAAGTCCCTAAATTTATATTAGATTAAATTACAATAATGAAATGTAAAATATTTGCGTATTCTGCAGAATTAACAGCTTCACCCGAACAGGGTTTGGTCTTCTATAAACAAAAGTTCTATAAATTAATGTGTTCTGTCATCGCATATATAAGTTAGCACCACTGGAGGTTACATTCCTTCAACTATAAAGTTCAATTGTTTTTCTAATTATATCACCGGAAAGTTCTGTCAATGGCTATGGGAAAGTCTAAGTATAAAACTATAAATCAGACACATTAGTTAGTACAGTTCGTTCACTTCATAAACAGTTCTGCAGATATTAATTATCCCTTATCTTATAGAAATAAATAAAATCATTAAAGTAAAATATTGTCAAATTTTCAGCCCTAACATGTACATGTTGTTCTGGCATGGTTCATCTGAACTTGACCTCATTTTTATGGATCTTGGATAATATTAAGTTTATTTGATACTTGTAGTAAAATCATCATATTATACACTTTTAACATAAATTCAATCGTAACTAAAGCAGGCAAGACATTTCAGCATGTGCACTCTTGTTACATTAGTTAATCCCTTTGGAAATGTAAATTTTATGGAAAATTGAATTTGGACTCTAAAGTCTACATTTCTTGTGAGATTTTTTAGCTCAACTTGCCTAAAGAGCCAGAAGAGCATTTTTCATCACTTAGTGTCTGTCATCCCTTGCCTGTCCTCATCAGTTAAATTTTTTAATAATCTTCTTAAAACTACTGGGCTAAATTGAACCAAACTTGGCCACAATCATTATAATGAAAAAAAAAAAAAAAAATTATGGTATCTAGTTTAGAAATGTTTCCGGTGACCTGGCCTGCCAACTGACATGGCCGTCATGGCTAAATGAAAACATAGGGGTAAAATGGTAAGTTTTGTCTTTTATCTTGAAAACCGCTATACATCATAGAGAAAATCTGACAAGGGCTGATTTTTTTTTTTCATTTTAAAATGTCAAGTACATTGTATCTTGAAAATGATAGACATGATAGAGAGGAACTTCAAATAGCAAAAATGATCAACAAGACAATACTCACAAATAAGTCAAAATGGCTGAAATTTTTTTTGAGTTATTGCCCTTTAATGACAATTTTACCAATCTTTTGCGTTTTTGATTTATATCTTAAAAATTATAATAGATAGATAATTTTTGTGTAGATACAAACTTTAAAAGCAAAAGTGATCAGCAAGACAAGATCTACAAATAGGTCTAATTGCTGAAATCGTCATCGACTCCTTATTGGAGAACATACTCTTTAATGACTTACAAATTTTTGTCTTGCCTTGACAGACTCAAAAAGCGAGACATAGGATGTTTCCGGCGGCAGCGGCGGCGTCAACAATGTATTAGTTTGTGATTAGGTCTAGTTTATGGTGAACCACTAGTGGTAGGTCAATGATATTTGGTATGCAGTTGTATTAGCATTGGCACATCTCATTTCCATGGAGATTATTTGGCCCTGCCCCCTCAGTCATGGTCGATTGACTTTGAAACTTTTGCTAAGTTAACATGTATTATTTTGTGATAAGGTCAGTTAATGGGGAACCACTAGTGGTAGGTCAATGATATTTGGTATGCAGTTGTATAAGCATTGGCACATCTCATTTCAATGGAGATTATTTGGCCCTGCCCCCTCAGTCATGGTCTATTGACTTTGAAACTTTTGTTTAGTTGACATGTATTAGTTTGTGATTAGATCAGTTTAAGATGAACCGCTAATGTTAAGTCAATGATATTTGGTAAGCATTTGCAAGTCTCGTTTCCATGGAGATTGTATAGCCCACCCCTTCATCATGGTTCATTGACTTTGAAACTTTTACATAGTTTACAAGTTAATGTTTGTGTTTAGGTTTGTTTAAAGGGAACGACTTATGATAAGTCAATGGTATTTGGTATGCAGTTGTATTAGCATTGGCACATCTCATTTCCATGGAGATTTTTTTCCATGTACCTTCAGTCATGGTTCATTGACTTTGAATAGTTGCATAACTTACATGCTAAAGTATTGCTATTTTAATTTCAACATTTGCAGTATCAAAATTACAAAAAAGGGGAGACATATCTCTGTGTTTACAGTTTTTATTTACATTTTTGTCTATTATCTTGAAAACTATGAAAGTCAGCACTTGTTTTAATAGCAAAAATATTGGCAAGATAATTTCTACAAATAAGTCATAGTCAGTAGACTATACAGAAATGATTGCCCTTAAGTTACAAATGTTCACTCTCTTTTGATTGATTGATTGATTTATGGGTGTTCAATGCCACTTTCAACACTATTATGCTATTTTGTAGCAGTCAATTTTTATTGGTGGAGGAAGTTGGAGTGGCTGGAGAAAACCACCAACCTTCTGTAGGAAAACTGACAATCCTAGTCAATAAAGATTGGAGTCGAGTGCATGTGCCCAGTGCAGGATTCGAACTCACAACCTCAGTGTTGACAGGCTAGTGATATAGTAGTTCGACTACTAAGACCACTCGGCCACCTAAGCCACTTACTCTCTTTTGTGTTTTGGGCAAAAACTGAAGTAGATAGAAATATGATCAGGAGTACAAGAAAAATAAAAGAGATTTTTGTCAAGAATTCTTTTCTAGTCCACAGTGTTTGAGATTGTTCCTTTTTGAAGATGATATAGACCTAGGTGAGCAACGGAGGCTCTTTAGAGCCTCTTTTTATGGAATTTATATCAAAGGTTTATATATCTGCAATGTTTAGCAAGTTTGATAATTAGTGCTGATCAATTATATTTACATGAGTTATATCCCTTTGAAATGTAAATTCTATTGAAAAGCATTAAAAGCACTCTCTCACCTACAGTAACAGTCAGATTTTTATGAAACTTGTATTAAAATTTTTTATCAGGAAGGCCTGGATGAGTTTGATAATTAGTGTCCATCAGCTGTTTTTACAGAAGTTGTACTCCTTGGAAATAGAAATTATATAAAAAATTGCATTATAAGCAATCCAACAACTTTATTTCTCGTAGGATAATTCTACAAAAAGATTAAAATATCCCAAAATATTGTGTTGGAACTATTGCCATTGGACAGATAAGATATGTGCAGAAACTTTAAATAGCAAAAATGATCAGCAAGACAAGATCTACAAATAAGTTATCATGACTAAAATCTTCAGATAACTCCTTGTAAGAGTTTTTGCCCTTTAATAAAGATTTTGCAAATTTTTTGCTTTATTGTCTTATATCTTAACAAGAGTGCACACGCTGCAATGTCTCGCCTTCTTTACTAATCACTGATATTATGTTGATAGTCCTTAATATAAAGCTTTATTACAACTGTCACATAAACTTAACATTAACCAAGAAAACTAAACATTGACCAATGAACCATGAAAATGAGGTCAAGGTCAGATGAACTTAACACTGAGCAATGAACTGTGAAAATGAGGTCAAGGTCAAATAAAACCTGTGTGACTGACATATAGATCATAAAATATTTCCATACACCAAATATAGTTGACCTATTGCATATAGTATTAGAAAAAAAGACCAAAACTCAAAATCTTAACTTTGACCACTGAACCATGAAAATGAGGTCAAGGTCAAATGACACCTGCCAGCTAGACATGTACACCTTACAATCATTCCATACACCAAATATAGTAGACCTATTGCATACAGTATAAGAAAAACAGACCAAAACACAAAAACTTAACTATAACCACTGAACCATGAAAATGAGGTCAAGGTCAGATGACACCTGCCAGCTGGACATGTACACCTTACAGTCCTTCCATACACCGAATATACTTGACCTATTGCTTATAGTATCTGAGATATGGACTTGACCACCAAAACTTAACCTTGTTCACTGATCCATGAAATGAGGTCGAGGTCAAGTGAAAACTGTCTAACGGGCTTGAGGACCTTGCAAGGTACGCACATACCAAATATAGTTATCCTACTACTTGTAATAAGAGAGAATTTAACATAACAAAAAATTTTAACTTTTTTTTCAAGTAGCCACTGAACCATGAAAATGAGGTCAAGGACATTGGACATGTGACTGACGGAAACTTCGTAACATGAGGCATCCATATACAAAGTATGAAGCATCCAGGTCTTCCACCTTCTAAAATATAAAGCTTTTAAGAAGTTAGCTAACGCTGCCGCCGCCGCCGCCAGATCACTATCCCTATGTCGAGCTTTCTGCGACAAAAGTCGCAGGCTCGACAAAAACTATAATCGATAGATAGAATTTTTAAAAAGCAGAAAAGATCAGCACCACAGAATCTACAAATAAGTAAACATACTGTAAATTCAGAAAATATTGCGAGGTTTTTATTATTCCGAATAATGTGATAGGATGAGTATCTCTATAGTAAAAACTCGCATTTTGATATCTGATATATATAGCTGTATGCAGATTTTCCTGAAATCGCATTAATTTATCTCAAGTTTTTGTCCATTCTTCAAAAATTGCTATTAATAATAAGTGCATGCAATAATTTCTGAATTTACTGTACCGGTAGCTTAAATCTTCAGTGGATTTCTTGTAAGAGTTGTTGCCCTTAAGTATTGATTTTTACCATTTTTTTTGCACTTTTGTTCATATCTTAAAAACTATAATAGATAGAAACTGTAAAAAGCAAAAATGATCAGCAAGACAAGATCTACAAATAAGTCAAACATGACCCAAATGGTAAGGTGACTCCTTATTAAAGTTATTGCCCTTTAATTTCAGTTTTTTCCATTTTTTCCTATTTTTATACGACCGCAAAATTTTTTGGAGTCGTATATTGGTATCATGTCTTCGTCATCCAAAGACATTTGGTTTCCGGACAATTACTTTAGTATAAGTAAATAGAAATCTATGAAATTTAAACATAAGGTTTATAACCACAAAAGGGAGGCTGGGATTGATTTTGGGGATTATATTACCAACAGTTTAGGAATAAGGGGTCAAAAAGGGGCCCAAATAAGCATTTTTCTAGTTTCATGACAATAACTTGTGGAACAGTGTATGGATCTCTCTGAAATTATACCACAAGTTTCCATACCACAAAGGGATAAAAAAAAAATTTTTGTAAAAGAAGGGGGGGAGAGGGGTAAAAAAAAATTTTTTTGGAGGGATAGGTCAATTCGCAACAGCATAGTGTATTGCACAAAAGCAAAAAATTGAATATAAATTCAAATCATATAACCAATTCTAAGTTCTTTGACTACAGTTATTCTGTGTCAGAAACCTATTATGTGTCAAATATTGAATTACAATCCAAATTCAGACCTATATCAAGCACGAATATTGTGTCCATTTTTGCCCCAACTGTTCAGGGTTGGACCTCTGCGGTCGTATCCAGCTGCGCTCGGCAAAGCAATTGATAGCTATTATCTTGAAAACTGTAATAGATAGATAGAAACTTTAAAAAGCACGATTGATCAGCAAGACAAGACCTACAAATATGCCAAATGGCCGAAACCTTCAGTTGACTTATTATTGGGGTTATTGCCCTTTAATGATGATTTTTACTTAAGGTGAGCGACACAAGCTCTTTAGAGCCTCTTGTTATATGTATTTGGTGTATGAAATGATTGTAAGGTGTACATATTTGTCTTGCAGGTTTGATCTGACCCTGACCTCATTTTCATATTTCATTGCGTAATGTTTATTTTTGTGTGATTCTATCTGTTTATTAGATACTGTCATCAATTGGTCAACTGTATTTGATGTAGGGAATGATTGTACATGTTTATCTGATAGGTTTCATCTGACCTTGACCTCATTTTTATGGTTCCTTGGTCAATGTTAAGTTTTTGGGGTTCTGTCTCAAATTAAGCGATAGGTTAATTATGTTTGGTGGATGTAAGGATTGCCAGATGTACATGTCATTCTTGCAGATTTCATCTGACCTTGACCTCATTTACATGTATTTCTTAGGTTTACTTAACTTGTTTGAGTAACACCTTGACTGTTTGCAGCATCGTGTACCCTAAAAAAGGCTTCCTTGACATTCTTTATGGTCTGTAATTGTTTAGCAAATATTCTGAGGAGCTCACATTCACAATCATTTTACAGACAATCCAATATGAAGCCTAAAATGAAATAATTATCTTTCAAGTTACAATGGTATTATTAAACACTGAGTGTCTATTTGATGTTCTTTTTAGTTGTGTAACCTGCTCAGATAGACAAGGTATTGTCATGACATCACATTTGTCGACCTAAATTTTTTAAATATTTTTTTCCTCAGAAACCACTGGATTAATTTCAACCTAACTTGGCCTGAATGATCTTTAGGGTATTCATAAGTACATTCTTTTTGTCCCTTATAACTAACTGTCATGGCCCTCCATGGCTAAAAATGAACATAAGGGTAAAATGCAAGTGATTGTCTATTATCTTGTCAAATATCAGGGTTTGAACTTAGAGAGAATTTGCCCCAAGTAGTAAATTTTAATTAAGAGAGTAATCCTAAACTGCAAGATTTGTATTTAAGTATGAGTTCTTTTTTATTCTTCAGGAAATAAACAGGCTTTGTATGTTTCACTGTCATGCAGTTCTTAAAGTTATCAAAAGAGTGCTGGTAGCTGTTTGTAGCATATCACAAAAAATTAAAAGCACGATACAGTCACATTGACAGTGTTCACTTTTGCTTATGATATTTCAGAGGTCGACCTGCTTGTGTTGTATCATGGTGCATTCCTTTAATGAAAATATGTTGTCATAATAGTTTTAATTAAATTAATGTGTGTAATATTTTACAAACTTAGATTGTGATCATATGCTTTTATGTTTGATTTAGGAATGGTACTGTAGACAAAGACCGCTGCAAAGAAGTCTTAGGTTAGTTTTTAATATTATAAAATGCTAATTATAAACAACATATGCTTTAAATTGTCATCATATTTTACCTTTTGAAAAAGACAAGGTTCTGGTTGAGTCAGCCTTAAAACTAGTAGTTTTGTAAAAAAAAATGTGCAATTCTGTAATTGTGCTGAAAACAGCTCTACATTATTCATATTTTGAGTAAAGATTGCATGAAATGCAATCAAAACCCTATGGTACTGACTTGATATCTATACCTTCCAAGGTTTACTACTGCCTTTAATAGTTCAAACAAAATAATGCAGTGAAATGATCATTATTTAGATCCTATCTAGTCAATGTCATGCAATTTATTGATGATATGTTATACTTTTATATTTAAGTTAAAATATGGTGTGTATTTGAATTACCATACTTGTCTAGAAAATATTTTTTTATTGAAAATTACATAAGTAATGCATGGTGTATGAATCTGTTATAAAAATAGGTTCAACTGCATATGTACAATCGCAAATAAAGAAAGATAACTCCAACTAAAATTTTTAACTTGCATAGCAAAATACAATTCAATGTTTTATTTAAAAATTCACAGAATTGCAAAATGAAAGCAATCTTAACCCTTCAGTGCTTACACTTAAGCACTTTGATTTAATTTGAAGTGTCCAAGTTAATATGATTATCATCATTATTCTACTCCACTCACTTCAGCCTATCTATGATTCTTGTAAGTAAAGTTTTTTTTTATGCATGATGATATAAAATTCTATAGTGCCCAAAGCTATATGTCTTAAAAGTGTACAACATCATGAGGAAGTAAAGAATATAATGATCAATAAAAAAATATAAACTATATAGAAATTCTACAAAGTGCTGCATCAAGATTAAATCAATATTTTACCTCTGGAGACAGTTAAATATTTAAAATTTCATTCTCAAGAGTGGAGAAATATTGTATTGCACAAGATACAATGTTGAAATATGATTTTAATGATATTTAGATGATATGTAGGCAAACGTTATCTTTCTTATTCTCAATGATCTGCAAAGAGAATTTGTTATTTTAATTGGACTTCATGAATTATGTCACCATTTTTTGTGATGTGACAATAACTAAATCGGAGGAAAGAAGAAAAGTTAACGTCATATCTGAGTTTTGTCCAATGAAGCACTTATATCAACCACATGCAGATAACAAAAAAAATGATCATTTATTCAGGGAAACTATAAATATGCTAAGAATTAGAGAAAATTAATAAACATTGTAATATCCTTCTGCAGTAACCTTTGAAATCTTTAACTTCATGATACAAACCTATAATGCCTAATTCTTTTCACTTTCTGTAATCTTTATAGAGTCATATAATTATATTAAGAATTGATATGATCCTTTTTGTACTTTTATTGTCTTACATCTACAGAAGGTGTTCAATTCATACGAATGCTGATCTTTAATTGGCTGATAGACCAATCATTCTATTCTTGCATATGCTTTTATTTTGAACTCAAGATTTGAAATTATAAGCTTTGCCCATCAAATTAATCAACACTGTTTTTTCCATTGTTTATGTAATTTGTGCAAACATTTTGCTTTTCAAAAAAATCACAAATTCTATTAAATTGAAAAAAAGTTGTTGACAATATGACATGTAAATATTGATAACTGATGTAAATATATAATGATTTATTATTGTTCTATGATATACATGTACATATATAATAATGATTGAAAGTTGATAAATATTACACAAGCTAGCTTGTAACTTTGAAATTGACATCTTCATTATGCCATTTTCAGCTCTATGCCATATTATAATTGATTTCATATTACTAGAAAATTTCTGTTGAAGTTAAGTTGGACTTTCATATTCAAAATGTCAATAACAGATTTTGTTTTAACTAAGTAAATCTGTAAATATATGAATTGAATGCTGTGTTTTTGAAACTTATATGAAATAAAAACTAATGACCATCATATTATAAGCAAGAAGAGCTTCATGCAAAATGTGAAAGTGGCTTGCTTTCATTTTGTGTAAATTTTCAAAAACGGCATTCAATTCTAAAGTATAGCATTGATCCAAACACATTATGTATGAAGTGCAATAATGCTTCATACACAAAATGTAAGTTCAACAAATATTTTTAGAACAGTGAATATTTTTTAACTTTCATGTTATTGGTATATTCTGCCTATCATCCAGCAATTAAAAAATTAAATTAGAATAGAGCGTGGACACGGGGAATATGTCAGAGAGCAGAAAACAGCTCAAGGCCACCAATGGGTTTCAATGCAGCACGAAAATCCCGCATCCAGATGCGGGCTCCGCTGGTCCCTAAATAATAATGTATACTAATTCAGCGAAATGGACGCCACACTATACTCTGAAACATACAAATGAACCAAAATTAAATTAATTACTTTGAATTTTCAAAAAATGTCAAATTTTCAGTACACCTATGCTAAACATTTTATTTACAGTGGAAAATGCAGTTGTAAGTGTTTAAATGAAAGTTTGTGGGATATACGATTCAGAACATCAATAATGAACACGATTTAGATCTATTTTGATAAGATTAAAATATATTAAGTCAGATTTTTGCTTAATTTATGTGCGTACAGTGTCAGGGTAACACATTTCAAAACGATTTTTTACCTATTTTCCGAATGCCTTGCTATCTGCAAAAGGAATTATTTTAGAATGTTGATAATAACTCTAATGAAAAATCACAGCTTCTTTTTTATTCTATGTAACATTTTTTCTACAAACTAAATTCAATCGGCGTACATGAAGTGCATGTTACCGCTACTAAATCAACCGTTAAATTGTTTTCCCCCCTATGATTATGGAACTATTCAGTGATGATTTCAAAAAGCACAAAGCATCCTAAAAATTTAACACGGCATGTTTCTTGCATAACAGTGTAGAGAAAAGAAAATTCAAGACATTTAGTGAAAAAAAATTAGTGGGTACCCTTTTGTCATGTCTGTTCTATTACATACCAACATATTTATTAATTACACCAATATTATACTTGTAAAAAGCTAGTGCAATTACGTGTTGGAAACCAAAATCACAACAAAAAAAACATTATCACTTCATCAAAGGGAGTAGTTATTTCACAACAGCATTCATAAATGAAGAAATTTGTCTATCCTGTTACTATATATGGTTACAGTAACAAGATAGACAATATTTGACAGAAACGCCTTTAAAAAGTTTATAATTACATATAGTTTTACACATAATTAAATGTTTGGTTGTTTGAACTCATTTAAATGTTACAACATCTTAACCTTTGCAATTCAGCATATACAAATCCAATACTGCTATGGGTAACATGATAGACAAAAAGGGTAACAAGATAGAACTTAATATGGTGATGTATCGTTAACATACATTCCTATTACCAAAAACAAAACGACTAAAGTAAACCAACATGCAAGGGAATCACTTGATGTTGGGTTTATTAGAAAGAGAAAAAATGCTTAACATTATGAATTGCTATCTTAGACTTGTGTTGCGGGTGGATATTTTTATAACCTTTGAAAACCAATTTGTAGAGGTATTTTGCAGTACAACATGGAAAATTGACAAATAATCTATCATTACACAGAATGAAATATATAGAAGTTTACACTCTTGAAAACCATCTTATTGGCTTTGAAAAACAAGCTTAAAATTTTATCGAAACCTTTTCTAAATAACCCGAAATTTCTTTTCAACATGGTAACAGTCACTCAGAGACAAAATATTGCACCACCTATCAAAACATGTTTCAATATATTCTTGTATGACATTATCAAAGATTGCATCTTTTTTATGTGTTGTTCCATAATTACTGTTTGTTTTGCTTTGCTTTCCTTATGAAGAGGGTTATTTGAATTAGTAACTTTGTTTCAATTTTGCAAATTCAAAATTCGACATTTTTTTAAAATGATCCATATACAACACACACATTCTAGCTCTTCTTTGTTTTTTCAGATGCTATTCGACCTTTACCAGCAACATTCCATCGTGGTAAGTAGATGACATAACTTAAGAGAAAATAGATATTTCATAAAGATTTGTACTTCCATAAAGATTGTGGTTGATTTTTATGCTCCCTGCAATAAACTGTATTGATTTACCCCTGTCCATCTTGCCCACATAGTGTACATGCTTTGTCCAGCTAACTCCTTCTTCAGTTTTCAAGCTACAACCTTTATACATGTATTATGCAGGTAGTTATGACTTATACTAGAGGATATTGACTATATTGAAATTTTCCACAAATGACAGGATTAAAAACTTTTTCATTTTTGGGGCAGGGAAATTGTGCATGTGGGGTACATTATTATACAGTGTAAGTACCTTTACTTAAGGTGTGAATATTATCAGAATTTTGATTTTCAAATTTTCTACAAATGACAGGATGTTGAACCTTGTTTGTCATTCTTGGTGAAATTATGCATGCATGGTACATGGTATGTTTGGCAACTCCTCCTACAGTTCTCAAGCTAGAACTTTTATGTTATGCAGGATGTAAGTACATAAACTGAAGGTAAACATTTTGTCAAGAGGGGTCACCTGGGCAAACCATGTATCCTATTTTGGAATGACAGACAGTACAGGGGTAAAGCAAAATGGCCAGACATTTTTATTCTGGGGGGCATAATAAATAGAATTGACCAATCAGTCAATATTAAACAAGATCAGTCATGTCAGTTGTGAACTATTTATTATATATTTTGGACATTTTTTTTTGCACTTCACTCATACTTTACATTTAAACAATACTTACTTTCAGCAATAGATACAACAGTTGATATAATGTCAGCATTGGAAGTAGTGATAAAAATTGGATTTACACGGGTTTTAACAAGTGGGGGCTGCTCAACTGCTTTAGAAGGTCTTCCCTGTATATCGGAAATGATTTGCAAGGTACAAGTATGACATGTATTCAAATAATTAAGATCAAAATACATTTATAAAAACTAAAACAATCATTACATGGTGCTATCTGCTAGTGTGCCAATATCCTTCTGTACTCTTACAAGGCAGAATTTATACAAAACCAACAGGATGAGCAAAATTTTTTTTATTAAATCCTTTAAATACACTTAGGCCAAAAAAAAAAAATAGGTGTGTCTCCTGTCACCTGACCAACACTAATTTATAGGCTCTGAATTTTAGCAGTTTTTTGTCTCGCCTTGACGGAGTCAAAAAGCAAGACATAGGTATGCTGTTTCTGGCGTCGGCGTCAACAATGTATTAGTTTGTGATTAGGTCTAGTTTATGGTGAACTACAAGTGGTAGGTCAATGATATTTGGTATGCAGTTGTATTAGCATTGCTACATCTCATTTCCATGGAGATTATTTGGCCCTGCCCCTTTAGTCATGGTCTATTGACTTTGAAAATTTTGCTTAGTTTACATGTATTAGTTTGTGATTAGGTCAGTTCAAGGGGGACCATTAGTGGTAGGCCAATGTTAAGAGGTATTAAGTTGTATAAGCATTAGCACATCTCATTTTCATGGAGATTATTTGGCCCCTTCTCCTCAGTCATGGTCTATTGACTTTGAAACTTTTGCTTAGTTTACATGTATTAGTTTGTGATTAGATCAGTTTAAGATGAACTGCTAATGTTAAGTCAATGATATTTGGTATGCAAATTTATTTGCATGTGGAAGTATTGTTTTCATGGAGATTGTATAGCCCCACCCCCTCATCATGGTTCATTGACTTTGAAACTTCTACATAGTTTACAAGTTAATGTTTGTGTTTATGTTTGTTTATAGAGAACGACTTATAATAAGTCAATGGTATTTGGTATGCAGTTGTATTAGCATTGGCACATCTCATTTCCATGGAGATTGTTAAGCCATGTACCTTCAGTCATGGTTCATTGACTTTGAATATTTGCATAACTTACATGTGAAAGTATTGCTATTTTAATTTCAACATTTGCACAATCAAAATTACAAAAAGGCGAGACATATCTCTGTGACAACAGTTTATTCCAAAAAAAAAACAAAAATTCAGATTTGGTAATTTTCAGTGTGGTCTGGAAAAAAGACCTATCCAGAATCCCTGTGATCAGAAAATAACACTTCCTTTATCATGTCCTATGATAATTGGAGTGTTCAAAAGATCTTTAAAAAAAATTTGTAAACATTTGGTAGATCAATGTAAAAAAATAAAATTTTGTATTTCTCTTTCTAATGCTCAGAATTTTCAGTCAGATAAGTTTTGATTTTTTTTTACATCTTTCTAAAATAAGACATAATGTCATATTTTGAATCCTGTGCATATACCTGGCAATAGTATATAAATATCACATAGCTGAAAGGGTGATAGAGCAGATTGTTACCCTGAGAATACATTGTCAACCGCAGCAAAGCCAAGGTTGACAATGCTTTTTCTAGGGGTACCAATCTGCTCTATCACCCTCTCAGCATTGTGTTATTTAATTTATTATACTGAATGTCCTATCATTATTGTCTTTTACAGATGAATTTTATTTAAAAGTATTTTCTATGACGTCATGTACATAACAACGTTACAGGTATTAGAAAAATCAACAGAAGTGAAGCAAAATGGTTTTTTTTTTTTTTTATTTTGGCAGTCAAATAATAGAATCTGAGCCAAAACGTAGAACTTAAACATCGCCTTTAATAACTTGATGTAAATTCAATTCATTGTCCTTTAAATTATCGATTTTTTATTGGTCTGGACGAGAGGGTGACATTCAAAAAAATTGTCACCCGAACAGCCATGTGATAGAGTAAATTAACACCCTCCTATTAGCCAATCAAAATATTGCATTTTAACGTGAAGTATAATAATATATTTTATTATATACTTAGTAGTAAATACAGGTATCAGCCATCCATGATAATATCGATATCAGTCACAGTTGCAAAGGCTTAATCAAACCCCTAATCTGTATGAAGTCACGTAATCGATATCAGTCAGTTACAAAAAGCTTTATCAAACCTCTAATATGCATTATGTCATGTCTCGTGAAAAATATCTAAGGGATATTAGTTTTACTTGAGGTACATGTATATAATAAAGTGTATATGATATGGCCTTTTCAATATCACACACAGTATCAACCCTCAACCAATATAATCCCAAGAGCTCTGCTCGAGGGATTAAATTGGTTGATACAGGTGTGATATTGAAAAAGCAATATGAAATATTCTCTATAAATATTTATCATATATTTAGTAGTAAATACAGTAGTTTTGAATATTTGATAAACAGCCTGCTGTTAAATCCGTATTGCTCAACTTTGATGCACACCCTTTATCACACCCCTACTAAAATTTCTCATTCATGACAGTAGTGATTCTGACTAAATTTACATGAAGTCCATGTTTTAATTTATGCAAGCTTCTCAAGAAATATTTTTCCTCAATGGGTCCTAAATGAAACGGTCATTAGGGCGTGATGTCATTTATCCAATGACGTCATTGTTTGGCATGTGACGTCACAGATATTGAGCTTTCATATTTTCTGGCACACGAAATGCAACTATAAAAAAGAACTCAATGAAATACAATACAAAACACACAAAAATACAATAAACAAAATATTTTTATGAACAACACAACGCAAATTGTAAGGTTACCCAGGTGCTTCTGATGGATAATTAAGCAGTTCTTTTAAAGCTTTTAAAACATAACAAAAGTAAATCTGAAGGTAACCCAGGTGCTAGGGATCAGAAAGCAGTTCATATATACTCTCCTGTTTAAATATATGATAAAGCGTATAAAACATGGCAAAATCCGTATCACATGCCGTATCACCCTCCACCAATATATGGGTAGAAATTCCTTGGCATTAAAAAATGTCAAAGTTTATAAAAGGACAGTAACTAAAAAAAAGAAAACAAAAGAGAAACAGCTAGAGGTCAGAATACCGTAAGCAATGATGACTGTGCTTGAAAGTCACATGTCAAGCTCTCACTGCCGTGTCCTGAATTTAGATAAGAAACGTGAAAATTTGCATTCGCGAGTGAAATAAATATTTATGCATGAACGTGGTATTTTTGCGCAAGAAATAGTAAATAGAAAGCATATGCACTGATACTCTGGATAAGAACATGCATTTGCGTCATCACATATATTAATCTAATAGTTGAATTTGGATGTCAAACTACCTACCTCAAGTGTTTTGACTCCAGATTCATTGATATTGTGAACGCAAACCGATAGTGTGATGGGGAACAGGGTGCTGTATAATGTGAATGAATCAAGACTTTTAGGATAGCTGGTCACCACAATGTATACAAATATTTAGATGCTATAAGGTTGAACTAATAAAAGAAAAAAAGAATTGAAATTTTATAAAAAACATACATTCCTGTTAGTGAACTTTTTTCCGAAAATGGCTTGAATATAATATCAATAAACACAAATGTCAAGTATTTACGAATGGACATTTATTTATCAAATGAATCTCTTTTTAAAGTCTAACATTCCACTATATGAATATATTACTATACAAAATATAAGTTGAGACTTATAAATCCCTTCTAAAACAGTATAAAATAATTGGCATTATGATAGTAATTAATTTTGTTATGATTATTGTAAAATGTTAATAACCTTTTTTGTGAGATGCAAGTATTTAAAATCCTTGTGAATTGAAACCATGCAAGTATTTTTTCATTCACGACCGTTTAAAATTCAGTTATTTAGCTAACTTTGGGTACGCACCCCTGCTCATTGGGGCTCATACGTTACATATAATTTTCATAAATGTAATGACTGATCAATCTGTGAGACATAATGCACGTATACATTACAATTTTAATTATATTCTATAATTATTAGGAATAAATTCAGTCTCAGTTTTACCTTAACAATGAATATTCTCTTAGTTTGGTAGTATCTATTAATGAAATTAGGTATTTTTTAAAGAAAAATCCTTTTGTTTGATTATCTTTCTGCTTTCCAACCACTGTGTTTCCGACCTTAGATAAATATTTTAACAGAAATATCTTTTTCTTGATTTTCTTCATGCTTTCCGACATTTTCTCATGGCCTGATTGAAATACTAAATATCAAATGATAAACGTTCAGAAATAATCAGTTTATTCTGGGTCATTGTTTATCAATAAAGTATTCCCAGGTTTATAAAATACTACACACACAACGCATAGAGGGATCGTCTCAAAGCATGAATTATATAATCGCGTTATCATTATACTTGATATTCAATAAATATTCATATAATTAAAAACATATTTGTTATGTAAAAAGGCAAATAGGTTCTAACATATAAATGATTTTAGAATGCAACCTAGTCTTTATTGTTTTACTTTCAAATCTACAAATGAACTTTTTCCCGGATTGTTGAAATATATAATGTCATGTGGTAGCCTATCCATAGAGGGACCGTATCAAAGACATAAATAACTACCTGTATAAATGATGGAAAATTTTCGACAAAAATGACAGTCAACCTCTCATCAAACTACTCAGACTATTATCTGTGCAATCACAATAATCTCTAACATGTAAGAGCTTCAAAATCTCTTTTTACAATAAAATCAAAATCCATTTATTTTTGTCTTAATTATCTTCTTTTTATGCCCCACCATTATGTTTTTCAGTCTGTGCGCTGTTCGTTTCGTCCGTCCGTCTGGTTTCAGGTTCAAGTTTTTGGTCAAGGTACTTTTTTAATGAAGTTGAAGTCCAATCAACTTGAAACTTAGTACACATGTTCCCTATGATATGATCTTTCTAATTTTAATGCCAAATTAGAGTTTTTAACCCAATTTCATGGTCCACTGAACATAGAAAATGATAGTGCGAGTGAGGTATCTGTGTACTTTGGACACTTTCTTGTTTATATATATATTTTGAATATTTAAAATCACAAAATGTAATCAGTGAAGCATCTGTATATAATTTTGATAAAGGGGCCA